TCTAGACCTTTGATTATTTTTTTTGCTTGCCTCTGAACTTTCCTCAGTTTCTCCTCATCTTTCCCAAAGTGCAGAGACCAGAATTGGACACAGTATGCCAGTTGATGTCTGAATAGAGTGGAAGAATTATTAGCAGTCCTGATAAAACAGCCCAGAATGGTGTTTGCTTTCTTTGCAACATTGTTACATTTATGAGGCATATTTAATTTGTGGTGCATTTTCTGCTTTTGTATGGAACTCCTTCCTAGGTGTTCACTTCCTACTTTTTATTTGTGTGATAGGAAGGAATAATCAAAGTGCCTGCAGTACATTGCATTTTGCTTTTCTGAATTTCATCCTAGTTACAGCAGATCTGTTTCTCCAGTTTGTCAAGATCATTTTAAACTCTAATCCTATCCTCCAAAGCATTTGCAAGTCCATCCAATTTGGCATTATCCACAAACTTTCCATGCCACAAACTTTCCATTACCCACAACCTCTCCATGCCACTATTCAAATAATTTGTTAAGATAATGAAGAGAACTCAGTTCAGGACAGATTCCTGTGGGACCCAGCTCAATAGGCCCTTCCAGTTTGAACCTGTGATAACTACTCTCTGAGTCTGGTTTTCTAAGCAGTTGGGTGCCCCTCTTATAATAGGTTCATATAGGCTATATTTCCCTGGTTTGCTTATGATAAGATCATATTCATATCAAAAGCCTGACTAAAGTCAAGATATTACATCTACTTCTTCTCCCACCCCATCCTCTACAAGGTCTGTTTCTCTCTCAGAAAAGAATATTAGGTTGATTTGACATCATATACTTTTATACATGCTAACTGTTACTTCTAGATGCTTACAAACTGATTATTTGCTGCATTATTTATTGCTCCATATTTGTATCAATGGTACCAAAGTCAAACTGACTGACTGGTCTATGATTCTCAGGTTGTCCTTGTTCTCCTTTTTATAGACTAGTCTTTTGTAAACATTCTGTTCTTACTTTGCTTTCAACTTCATGGGGTCTATTACAAGCTCCGTGCAGCTTGGTATGGTATATTGCACTAAATGAGAATGTTTTAATTTTATAGGCATGCCAGTCCAAATAGCAGGAAGAGGAAAAAGCAGTGCAGTGGATGTTCTCTAGCAGGATCCAAGTCAATGCCCCAAGTCCAGTCCTATGAAATGTATAAACGTCAGCAAACTTGGTGAAAGATACTAGTGGTGCTTCGCTGCATTTCTTGTATGTTCTGTTTTGTCAGATGTTAACTTTTTAAGAACTCCAAGCTGGAGTAACAAATGAGGGCATGATCCTGAGCTGATGTAAACCCTGAGGATCTGGAATATCTTTTGCATAATGTAGTAGGCATAACTTTAAGTTTATACCAGTAAAAAATGGAAACCTTACATCTACCACAGTTCTCCAAGGCTTTGACTCATATAATCTTTAAAAATGAACATGGGAACTCTCTCCCTTACAGCATTTTTATTCCTGAAGAAATGAAGTAGATAATGCTATGAATTTCTCATCCCTAAGAATAGCTCTTTATTTTTCTTTCCTCCTTGCCCCTCAATCTCTTCCCCTTCTTACTAACCCACATACCTCTACTATTTAATTCCTATACATCCACAAATCCCCCCTTCTCTCTGTCCAGACTCCCCCTTTTTCATTTCCCCAAGTTACTCTCCCTTTCCTCCTTCATTTTACTGAAGAAAGGGAAGAATAGAAGGAGATGAAGTAAGGGCGCACCACAGTCCCTCTTCCTTTCTGTCAATGGCACACACCAGACTCACAAACAATAGTTGGTTTTTTTTCCTGAGTGCTGTAATACTTTGATCTAAGCCTGGATTTGGGTTTAGTGTGAGGGTGTGGGGTGGGGCTGGCAGCCTGTGGTACACAGGAGCTCAGACTAGATAATCTGGCCTTTAAACCCCCTGGCTGGCTCCTGATGAAAGCCAGAATGACCAATAGTAACTTACCTTCTGCAATCTTCTCCCAAGCAAAGTACTTGGGCTCAGTGCCCTAGATCAGTGTGGTCCCACAATCTCTTCCTCTCCTCACTCAGCCACATCACTCCACTCCCTGCCAGTGATGCAGCTGGAGGAGCAGAGCAAGCTGGGACCAAGTTGCTTCACTTTTTCCCACCATTACCAATGGGGGTGGCACCTGCTGTGAGCACCAAGCCCTATCAGTGATTCATGGTATCACTGGGGAAGTGTACCACCTCCCTGTGTTGCTGCTAAAATTTTAATTTTGAAATGGCATGCCTCGTCATGTTCCCTCCCTGTTCCTCTGGATGGCCCTCAACCCCGTCCCTCCACAGACACCAGTCACCTATGGCAGACTCTCCAGCTTGTTCCTCTCTATGCTCGGGGACTCTGGCCATGTCGGCTGCTAACTGGCCCCTTATCCCTCCTGCCCAGGGGCATTTCTGGGGGGGCGTCCCTTTCATGCCCCCACCATGTGGTTAGTCCCCGCTATGAATAACACTGTGTCAATAATAGCCACTTGTCATGTGCCCCATTTGAGCTGCTCTGGAGGCAGTGGTGTGTGGGAGTCTGTCTAAGCAGCCAGTATCTGTTCTTTGCTTACTCTTCCAAGGCTGAAGAACAGTGTAACTGCCCACAGTTACAAGTTACCACTTTGCTCTTTCTAAGCAAGCAACATGAAAGCATTCCACAGAAACATATTAAAACAATCAAGAACCTACATGTGCTAGTAAGGATAGCAGAGGTAACCCCAACTCCAGAGAGGGCTCTGGTCAGTGGTTAGGTTTTCAAACCCTGGCTAGGGGATTTGTTGTGGTCAAAGTTCATGATAGCAGTAAGTTCAGAACAGGTATCCCCTTGAATTTTTTGGGCCTCTTCTTTATATAATGTGAGCCTCTGATATTGTCCTCATGTAACTGCAGCTCAGCAGACAGGTTCTTTTCTCGGACAAAGCTTAAAAAGATTGAGGACACTGTTTCAAATAGTCTTATGAAGCTCTCCTCACTTCCCAGAGGTCTACATTAGGCATATATTTGACTGGAGATGTCATATACAATTCCACAGTAATACATAAACGTGTATTTTAATACAATGAACTTCTAAAACACTTAAACTTAATTCAACAAGTTTAATTTCTTTGTGGAAGAAATTTCTAGAAATTGCAGTATCTGTTACAGCAGCCACTTGCAGTGGGCTTCACTTCTGATTATCAACCTTGACTCAGAAAAAGACTGAAGTCATAAGTAGGCAATGCAGTGTGAACACACACCAATGATGATTTTATCTGAGAAAACTGTGTTCTGGATTGAATTGCACTTTCAGGCTGATGGCAATGCACATATGCTTTGGAAAGCGGGAGACCTTAATTTAACTCCCACCAATGGTACTCCCTTGTGCAATAATATCATAGCTCTTCATGTATGTCTTTCTCTGAAAGTCTCTCTCCAAATCTTCCCCAAGAAACTTCTGTGTTAACTGACCTTTTATATATTGAAAACCAACATCTGCCTTCATATATTACTGGCTAGAGAACAAATTCACTACATTTCCAGATCCTTGTCTGGTTTGAAATGTGAAGTTCATTGTTTAAGTCTCAAGGGCTGAATCTGGACCTCAAATGAACTATGTTCCAGGCATGTTTGGGATTTCTTTTCCTTGCTGTGTGCTGGAGAGGCACAATGCCTTTGTTTTGTTTTGTTTTAAAACACAGCAAACCAAAAAACCCCAACTTTGTACTGTTCTTACCCAGCAATACAAGTCCTGATTAAAAACTGCATCAGAAACTCAGAATTTGACCTTATGTTTGTGTATACACTAATAAAACAGCACTCATATACCACTTGGCAAATGTGAAATAAGGAAATAATACATAGTAATTGTGGTGTGCCTAGTATCCCTCCAGCACTATAATCAACAATCATTTACAGATGGGGAAACAGGCACCAATACATTTAATCACTTGCCAATGGCCACAGAAAACATCCATTTCACATCCTGAATTGGATGTCAGACTTGTGCTCAGTCCATTAAACCAGGGGGTAACAGCTTCCACAGGCCCCTGGGCAAGGTGTGGGGGGAGGCCTGCCCATGCCCTGGAAAAGGCTGGGGCTGGGGCAGCCAGCCCTATGCACTGCACAGCATTATGTTAGGCTCCCTCCACAGCCCTCAGAGCCATGTGAAGTGTGCAGAGCAGCGCTCTGGCACTAATTTAAAGGACCCAGAGGGCTGGTCACTACCACTGCCACAGTAGCAGAGGCTGGGAATCTGGGCCCCTTTAAATCGCTAGGCCCTCAAGCAACTGCCCCATTTGCCCTTTCACACCTCATTGGCAGGCTTGCATTAAACCATAAGAACAGCCCTATGGTTGTTCAAACCAATGGTCCACCTAGCCTAGTATTCTCTCTTCCATCAGTGGCCAGTGCCAGATGGCCCAGAGCATGAGTTCCCAAACTGGGAGGTGTGCCTCATGAGGGGATGTGAAGAAATTCCAGGGGGCAGGGGCATGAGGCAACCCAATCCCCCAAGTTTTGCTGCTATTTTTGTTTTTCAACCCGGGTCAGTTCCTTTTTTTTTTTTTTTTGCTCAAATTTTGCTGCTATGGAGGTGTGCGAGGGTTTCTCAATAATCAAAAAGGGGGTGTGATGCCAAAAAGTTTGGGAACCACTGCCCCAGAGGGAATGAACAGAACAGGTAATCATCAAGTGATCCATCCGCTCTCACCCATTCTCAGCTTCTGGCAAACCATAGTGCTTGCTCTTAACATGTGTCTCATAACAGATACCCTAAGAAACAAGGCTGAGATTCTGAGGTTTGGACACCTATCTCTGTTACTTGCATGCTGCTAGGAGTCTGGGGTCAGCTAGGAGTCCCTAGATGGCAGCTGTCCCTTTCAATCACGTGGAGGTGGCATTTTAAAGGGGAAGCCCACCGCACAGCTGATCCGTGGATCAGCTGTGCGGTGGCAGCCTTAGGGTTTCAAAGTAGCAGCACTGTTGTGCGGTGCTGCTACTTTGAAGTACCCCTTCCCCCCTGCTTTTCTGCCTCTATCTTATAGTCAGCAAGGGAGGGATATCAACTAGTCAAAAGCCTAGTCTTTAACATCCTTAGTGCAGACATAGCCATAGAGTCTTCCACAGTTACAAGTGGCAAGATGAAGATAGAAGAATGTGCTGAGCTCTCATGTTCAGCAAAATGCAGAAAAAAAAGCATGATTTCCATAAGGGTTTCACCACAGCAGTCTGATACCCACAGGAAAACCACTCACTTACGCAAAGAACTGTCAGCTGCTAGTGCTGTCACTGAAACAGTCACTTTGTCCGTATATTCTATGCCTGAACCCACTCACAACACAAAAGATCCTGTGATTCTACTTCAAAGATGTGTGCCACTCAACCCTGAATCCCTCTCTACTGACATGCTTCACAACATTAATTAATTAAATTTAAAAAAGGGCACTATGTTTTGGTAGCAAGCACTGGCTAGAGTGTGTTGGTCTTATGACTTAACAATTGTTGGCACTGGAGATTCCAGCAAAATGTTTTAATCCTTTTCAAAGGCAACTGGTGAGGGGGGGCCCAGGGAGCCACTAGCCATGTGGCCCCCCCTCCCATTTTATGGAAGGGCCAGGACAACCCCCTCCCACCCCAGATCCCACCTCTCTCCACCCTTCCTCTGCCCCCTCCCCACTCTTGCTCTGCCCTGTCCCACCTCTTCCCCACCCTTGCTCCACCCCCACCCCAACTGAGGCAGCCCGGGGGGAATAGCAGGGCTGCAGGTTCAGTGCCAGCAGCAGGGGTCTGCCCCCCCTCCACTCACCAGCAGTGGAGGGGGAAGTAGAGCAAGACTGCCTCACTCTGCTCTTCTGACCACATCACTCTGCTTCCCACCGGTAAGTGCGGTGACAGTACCACTCCTCCCCTGAGTGACATGCCTGGAGGAGTAGGGCAAGATGGAGCAACACTTCTCTTTTCTCACCAATGCCAGTGAGCGGTGGGTGAACTCTTGCTGCATGCACCAGGTCCCTCCTGCTAGTCTGTCCACCGGTGCTGGCTGTGCCCTTGCCCTCCCACCCAGTGTGAGGGGCACAGGACCCCGGTTGATCCCCCCCATGTGTTACCCCTGATCCTTTTCATTATTTTCACTCTGACTGAGCAATGCACTGTAAATAGGGTTACCAGGTGTCTGGTTTTGAACCAAACAGTCTGGTATTTGAACTTTCTGTCCGGGAAACAAATTGAGAAAATACCGGACATATAAATGGACGGTATGTACGGTATTTTCTAATTAAGTTTTTATTATTATCATGAGTATCAGTACATAGTTGAGCACTGCTGGGCTGGTAGACACGCTCATGCTGCATCAGCATGTCTACCAGCTAGGCAGTATGAAACTACACAGTAGAGAAGACGAAGGTGGGGGCGGGGCTGGGGTGGGATGGAATCCCCGGGGCCAGACTCACCCATGTGCCCCACCGGGGCTGTGCACGGGATGGGCAGCACCCAGGGATCTGCATGCGCTTGGGCCAGCCCTGCTCCCCGCCGGCCGGTTCTCCCCCCACTCCCCTTCCGGCCAGCCCTGGTCCCTGGCAGCTGGTTCCCCCCTGGCCAGCCCTGCTTCCTGCCGGCCGGTTCCCTCCTCCTCATCTCCTCTGGCTAGCCCCGCTTTCCTCCCGGTCGGTCCCCCACCCCAATCTGAGATCGTGTGTCCGGTATTTTTTTTAAACCATCTGGTACCCCTAACTGTAAATCTTACTGACAGTTATGCCCATGCTGAACTGCAATGAGCTGCAATGCAAACACCATTTTGCATACTGTAGGAAGAACAGCCAGTATCCATTACTTGTAAATCTCTTTGGAAATATAAAAGCTGGCTGGGAGTCACTCAGTCAATGACTGTCTTTCCATTGACTTCAGTGGGCTATGGAGTAGGCCCAGAGAAGATCATTTATTTCTTTGTTTTGTTTGGGACAGAACTTTTATTGTCCACAGGCTATAAATCTGAAATGGGTTGCATTTTCTGGTATTTTTACACATTGCTTTTTATACACACTTCTGCACCCTTTTTATCCATACAAGTAGAGTAAATCTGAGAAGTGTTGGTTTGGGTCCTTTTAAAAGACGGAAGAAAAATAACTTCCATACACATTAATTAATTATACATGGAATGTTCTGAAACATGCCCTGAGACCAGAGTGCTGGGCAAGAATATGGGCAATTCTGTTTTCCAAGAAAACTCACTATGTCAAAGGAAAGATCAGCAGGCTCATGATCTATTCGTCCCACTTGACATGTAGATGGTACTTTCTGTACAGAGCTTAACATACTTCATGAATCTTTAACAACTTCATTCTAGAGACATTTCTATCACTATTCTAGAGACAGGAAGACAGAAGAGAGATTTTAAGGCCTCAGGCCATGAAAACATCTCTATTTAGGGCAGTCCTTACGCACATGAATCCATCCTAATCTGCCAGCCCTACCCCTTCCGCTTGCATGCCCCATCCCCCACAGCCAGCGGAACCCCAAGACTTCTCGCCTGAGGCATCGCCTCACTGCGATAGGAGCCCCTGAATGCTCCTCCTCCCCCACCAGAAGGGCCACTGCCCAGCTACTCCAATCTGCCCAGGGTCGCCCCAGCCCTAGGCTGTTGACAGGCCCACGCTTCAGGCTGCTGGCTGGAGCTGAGCCCCTGCCAGCTTCAGGGGAGATGGGGAGGGAAACGGGGCCTTGGGATAGAACATGAGCATGGCCATGGCCTGGATTAGGGGAGTCTTAGCCTGCCCTGGCCTTTGATACCAACTCCTCACAGCCTGTGCTTAGATGCTGTTCTAATCAGGGCTGGACTTAAGCATGTGTTTAAATGCTTCCTTGACTTAGGGAATATGGATCAGAGCCTCAACAATATTTAGGTACTTGACATCCATGGATTTCAATGGGTGGGAGATGCCTAAATATCTTTGAGGATCTGGGTCGAAGTGACTTGATCCAGATCACAGAATGTTGTGTCAAGGTCTAGATTAGAACTCAGGTGTCCTGACTCACAGCCCACATTTGATCCTATTTCACTGTGAGTAATTTTAAAACTAGTGAGTTGTCCTGTGGCACCTTAGGCTATGTCTACATTGCACATTTTTTTTTCAAAATAAGCTATTCCCGAATAGATTTCCAGAATAGCTTATTTTGAAATAGCATGACTACACACAAAATGTGCATCAAAATAGCGCTTAGCTATTTCTAAATAGAGCATCCACATTGATTGGACACTGAATCACATTTAAGGGCACCCAGAACTACTTCAGGCAGGGCATCAGGTCAGTAGTTACTTCATCTGGCTGCTGCTTGAGGCTATCTGAGGCTCATCATTAAAGGGACCCCCCTGGACAGCCGTTTCTTAGCTTTTCCTGCTTGCTTGCCTACTGAGGGACAGCAAAGCATTGCCTCTGTATGCTGTGGTTGCCCTGCTTTTAGACACCACAGCACTCTCTGCTATGGAGCTGGAGCTGCCTCTGCGCAGTTTTCAATTCTTGCAGCAAGTCATGCAACAGTTTCTACATGCAACCTCCCAGGCTCTGCAAGAACCCAACCCCCAGCCCATCTGGGAGACACTCCTTGTATCTCTGCAGGTGCGGCTCCTGCAGCTGGATCCCACCTGCCCTCCCCTGGACATGTGCCCACCACATCTGGTGTCTGGACACCAGTGAAGACTGGTAGGACTGGATTATTTTGGAGTGGTGGGGAGACCAACAATGGCTCCAGAACTTTAGAATGAGGAAGGACACCTTTATGGAGCTCTGTGAGTGGCTCGCCCCTGCTCTGTGGTGACAAGACATGCACATGATACCTGCCAGCCCCCTCAAAAAGCTTGTCACCATCACCCTCTGGAAGCTTTCCACTACTGATCCATAGGGAACCATTTTGGTATGGGGAGATCGACCGTCAGGGCCCTGGTCATGCAGG